GGACCTACACGACGAAGGATCTGGTAAAGACCAATGAATCTCGGTGTGAGTTTCTTGGCCCTTACAGCCCTTCCCACTCCAGTAGTGGGTGTCACCCTGAGAAACATGTGCTCTCCCTCCTCAAACTCTAGAGGTCTCCTCCTTCTATTAGCATAAGACTTTTGTCAACCCTGGGTAGCCCTCAACCTCTCCTGAATCTGTCTCACCATCTCAGTAGTCTGAAGAACTAACTCTGGACAAACCACTACTAACTCACCCTCCTGATACCAACATAATAGAGTCCTACACCTCCTGCCATACAAAGCCTCAAAAGGTGCCATGCCAATACTCGCATGATAACTATTGTTGTAAGTAAACTCCACTAATGGTAACACCTCCTCCCAGCTACTCAAATGATCCAATAGAGAAGATCTCAAGAGATCCTCTAGTGACTGAATTGTTCTCTCTGACTGACCATCTATCTGTGGATGATAAGTGAAGCTCAACCTCAACCTTGTCCCCAAAGCCTGATGTAGAGTCTGCCAAAACCTGGAAGTAAATCTTGGATCTCTATCAGAGATAATACTAGAAGGAACTCCATGTAACTGTACTATCTCTTTAATATACAACTGTGCAAGCCTCTCTAAGGACCACCTCTTGTTGACAGGAAGAAAGTGCGCACACTTGGTCAACCTATCAACAATCACCCAGATAGTGTCACTGTTCCTAGCTATCCTAGGCAACCCTACTACAAAGTCCATAGTGATACTATCCCACTTCCACTCAGGAATCTCCATCAACTGCATAACCCCTCCAAATATTTGATGCTCAATCTTCGCTTTCTGACAAGTCAGACAAGCGGCCACAAACTCTGCTATCTCCTTCTTCATGGCAGGCCACTAGAAACTTTTCTTGATGTCCTGATACATCTTAGTCATACAAGGATGTATGCTAAGACGACTCATGTGTCCCTCCTCTAGAACAGCTCTCCTCAACTCTAAATCACAAGGTAAACAAATCTGACCTCTGAATCTCAGAATTCCATCTGTACCAAGCTCAAAACCAGCTGCCCTCTTTAAATATATTTT